TTATCAGATTACCCAAGTCTCAATGAAGATTCTGATGTTGTTGTGTCAGCTGTTGAATGACGTGACGATAATTCTATATCTTGAGATGACGATGCTGATACTGCTGCTATTGGTGATGATGGAAGGCCCCTTCCGCCAGCAGTAGTTACAATTCAGCAACGAAACAAGCTGTGGATGAGAGTTCTCGTATTTTTAAATCCTTTATATTAAGTTCACTTGCTTGCTTGCTTAGGACCGTGCAAATCTTTCGGTCGTTTTTTAACCCACTTCCCGTGATCCAATCGAGCTGACATTTTCCACACAGACTCGTTGTGCGTGACAATTAATGTACGTGAAATTTTTTTTCCAAAATTTTACACTTTTTAGGACAAAAAAATATTTAATTACCAATTACTTAATGGTGAAATGCAATCATCTGACCCATAGGTGGCACCCATCTCAAGCCAGAGGACGAGAGGACTCTAGCCGCCACGCATATAAAGGATTTATAGTGAAAAACTTTGTTTTTACGGGTTATACTTGTTTAAAGTGAAGTCTAAATAATGAGACAGCGATTAATTGTGATGCACTACGGGGTGACGAGTGCATTGGTTTAAGGATTTATTTTTTAATAATCTTTAGAAAAAGATTATTAAACAGTGGTTGCACTTAATCGCAACGCTACTCTTTGGGATAAATACATTCTGTAATTGCTCTATTCATTTAAATTACACGTTTCATCCTCGGCTTGTTTTTAGGGAATTGTAATTTCAGATGCTGAACTTTAATTATTATTATTATTTGTTCTCACTGTTGTTCATGAACACTCGCTTGTTAAAAAACTATTTACTTTTCTCATGAATATTTTGGTAAGAAGCAAAGGCGCTTGCTTCTGATCGCTCTCTACAAATTGATTAAACTTTAGGTGCGTCTGCGTATACGTGTAGCGGTTAGCGCTACGCTGCGCTACGAACCCGGCGACCCAAATTCGATTCCCGCTCGTAGCCAACAACGCCGGTGACGATTATCCGAACCGGTCCTGGGCCTCCCCCTAGGTCGACTCGGCCTCAAATGCGTACCGGGTGCGGTGTGAATCCATGACGTTAATTTCCTTGGCATCCTAGAATTGCCATCACAGTTTGACCCATTCTTAGCTGAACATATTAAAAAGTTTAGCGGGAAAGGAAGAGGCACAGCGCCCTATTTGTCATCGACAATGTGTGAAGAACTCGTTGAGCGAATGGGTCAGAAAACTCGCCAAACAATAGCGGATGAGATTCGGGATGCCAAATATACTCTTCTATAAGCGCACGACTTTATCTGTGATGAACGCTGCACTTTCTGTCGTTTTCATGCAGGGGGCGCTGCAAACCTACGCGCCCCCTGCATGAACGATGGAGACGCAGGGACAGACGTTCGATTACGTTGGAATCGGTCTGCAGACGGCGGTCTTCTCGCACGGCCAGCTCTGTCGCCTTATCTAGATCCCGCAATCCCAAACAGGTGAAAGTCCGCATCGAACCGAACCCCCAGCAAAGGCCATCGACTTAAGAAAATTCGCACGAAATGTCCTTTTCAATGAAGTCTTCCAGATGTAAAATGAAAGAAGTTTTTAGTGAATAAATACAATAATCTAATTCAAAACATAACACAATTCAGAGATGTTTTATTTTAAAACTTCAAAACGGAGCATCGGGTGCTTGCGTGAATGCGTCGTTCGTGTGCATTTGTTTTCATTCTTAGCTGAACATATTAAAAAGTTTGGCGGGAATGGAAGAGGCACAGCGTCCTATTTGTCATCGACAATGTGTGAAGAACTCGTTGAGCGAATGTGTCAGAAAACTCGCCAAACAATAGCAGATGAGATTCGGGGTGCCAAATATATTTCAATAATTGTTGACTCCACCCCAGACCTGTCACATGTGGACCAATTGATGTTCATATTCCGGGTTGTTAACAGCAGCGGGAATGTGGTGGAGCGATGCCTGGGCTCTGAGCCAATTGAGAGCCACACTGGTAAAAGTTGAGCAGACTGTGTGACTTTGATGGTGGAGGGCCTTGGGTTGGACCTCTCAAACTGTAGAGGTCACAGTCACATGACAATGCAAGCAACATGTCAAGAAAATGCAATGGGCTACAGGCCCGTCTGAAACAAAACAAAAATTTTACCCGTAAAAACAGTTTTTCACTATTAATCCTTTATATGTGTGGCGGCTAGAGTCCTCTCGTCCTCTGGCTTCAGATGGCTGCCACCTATGGGTCAGATGATTGCCTGCCACCATTAAGCAATTGGTAATTCAATATAATTTATTTTTTCCTAAAATGTTGAAAATTTGGAAAAAAAAATTTTCACCAAAATTAATTGTCACGCACAACGAGTCTGTGTGCAAAATGTCAGCTCGATTGGATCACGGGGAGTGGGTTAGAAAACGACCGAAAGATTTGCACGGTCGTAAGCGCGCAAGCAAGCAAGTGAACTTAATATAAAGGATTTAAAAACCCTCTGATAGAGCCTGTGCCTTGCGCAGCGCATTCACTCAACTTAGTCGGCGTTAACACCTTAGACGGCAGTAGCCCAGTGGCTGACGAGTTTTTTAACATGTTGCAGTCACTGTGCACAATTTTCTCTTCATCCACACACAGATGGGGGAAAGACAGACGTCAGACTGACATTCAAATCGTTGTCCAGTACTCGGTGGAGTGCTCGGGCAGAGTCAACCAAGGCACAGGGAGAAATTACACCCACATTAGAGAGGCCTTCTGTGGTGTGTGCAGTGATGATAATGAGAGATACTCCCATTGAGGCCGCTGGACTACGTGCTAAATTGGACACCTTAGAGATGGTGTTCATGGCACGTTTCTAGGACGTCGTGCTTGATCGGTTCCACGCTACAAGCATGCACCTACAGACAAGTGACATTGACATACTCTTAGTTCTTTCGGTAAAGTCACGTAGGTAAAAAATGAAATTAATAAAAATAAAACAATAAAAATCACGAGGTTTCGGAGGCAACACAAGTCTCTCCGTCATCATTCATTGGCTACCACATTCTGATGAGTTCCCCCCCCTCTCCTCCCCCACTCAACTTGCATTTAAGGGCTTACATCTTGAATCCTTGCCTCACTTGATGCAGCAAATCTGGCTGTGACAGTCCCACCTGATGACGGAGACTTGTGTTGCCTCCGAAACGTCGTGATTTTTATTGTTTATTTTTATTAATTGCATTTTTTACCTACGTGACTTTACCGAAAGAACTAAGAGTATGAATCCTTGCAGTCACGAAAGCTTCAAATCTAGAAATGACATTGACATCTCTGTAGCAGCGCAGCTTTTGTCTTCGTTGAGGGATTTTGTGGCGGGACAGCGAGACCAGTTTGAGACTTTTGAAAGGGCGGCCTTCAATGTGAAAGGTGTCTCTCAGTCATCTGAGCACGATCTTCAGCGGAAGAGGAAACGCAAAACATTTGCAGATGAGAGCTCAGAGCCAGGTGTGACCCTTGAGGGGAGGGAGAAGTTCGAATCGAAACATTTAATGTGGTCATTGATAAGCTTGTGGCGTGCCCTGAGCATCGCTTGGATGCTTACAAGCGTTTGACCAGTCTCTTTGGAGTTCTGTTTATGTCCAATCAGGTGTCTCACAGTGATGTCAAAGCGGAAAATGTAAATGCACTTTCCGCTGCAAATCAATCAGACCTGGACATGAACTTTGCCAATAAACTCATCCAATTCTCAAGTCTTTCATGTCTGACTCTGAGGGTGAGAAGTGCCCAACTAAGTTGCTTGAGACGTTGCAGGCACTTAATCTGCGGTCGGCGTTCCTCAATGTGTTTTCGTGGCACTTCGGATTTGTCTATCTTGGCCAGTGACAAACTGCCAGGGGTGAGCGGACATTTTCTCCTTTTAGGCAGAATACAAAAATTCGCTGCGGAAGTAGCGTGTTGCCAAACGTGTCTCGGCTCATCGTCAATAGAGTCAGACCTTGTCAGACAGCGAGATGTTGACCGTCTAGTGGATGATTTTGCGAGGAGGAAGGCAAGAAAGACACCAATGTAGGAAAGCGGGGTGGGGGGCGGGGGGGGGGGGGGGCTCCAGACGATATGTGCCCAGTGGCCTCACGGGACCACGATCCGGCCCTGGCCAGGTCGCGTTAGAAAACGAGCTGTATCGCTAACTGGGCCTGACCTTGTAAAATACAAGTTTCCTTTATTTCGATGTAAAGCTTCTTTCGTGACCGCAGGGATTCATCTTCTTGGTTTTTTCGGTAAAGTCACGTAGAATGGAAATAATAAAATAAAATAAAAAAACATAATAAAATAATTCTCACGACGTTTCGGCCACAACGCAAGCAGCCGTCTTCAGGTGGAGAACAGGTCTGTCAAGTAGACAGAGTCTGAATTACCGAAAGAACCAAGAAGATGAATCCCTGCAGTCACGAAAGCTTTAAATCGAAAGATGGCGATGAACTTTCAAGTAACATTTTTTTTCATGATGACGATTATTTATTAAATTTCGATTTAAAGCGTTCGTGACTGCGGGGATTAATCTTCTTGGTTCTTTCGGTAAAGTCACGTAGAAGGGAAGTAATAAAATAATAAAAATAAAACATCATAAAATAATTCTCACGACGTTTCGGCCACAACGCAAGCAGCCGTCCTCAGGTGACTTTACCGAAAGAACCAATAAGTATAACCCGTAAAAACAAAGTTTTTCACTATACATCCTTTATATGCGTGGCGGCTAGAGTCCTCTCGTCCTCTGGCTTGAGATGGCTGCCACCTATGGGTCAGATGATTGCGTTGCACCATTAAGCAATTGGTAATTAAATATAATATTTTTGTCCTAAAAAGTGTAACATTTTGGGAAATTTTTTCGCGAACATGAATTGTCACGCACAACGAGTCTGTGTGGAAAATGTCAGCTCGATTGGATCTTGGGAAGTGGGTTAAAAAACGACCGAAAGATTTGCACGGTCGTAAGCAAGCAAGCAAGTGAACTTAATATAAAGGATTTAAAAATAATTTTCCTTTCACTTTAGCACTTGTCCCAAAGGCCTGTGTAGGTGACACGCAGGATCCTTTGTCTTTTGTGTCCCACAGGGAATGTCACGGATCTTCTCTCAGCTTCCCTTCCTGCCGAAGATCCTCTCCACCGTGGTCCGGCTGTGGTTCCATCGCCTGAGCCCCCCCTCGCTGTGCCCCCCGCCACCCGGCCCCCCAGGGCTCCAAACAAACCCTGCCAGCTCCCCCTTCCTCGCAGCGCTCGCCCCCTCCTTCCGCTCGCCCGTGGAGACCCCGGTCGCAGCCTTCCGGAAGCACCTGGTGGTGAGCGTTAGGTGAGTTTTGAGTGAGTGAGTGTGTGAGTGGGTGAGTGGGTGTGCTCGCTAAACAGTACTTGCCCTAACAGTCTATTCAGGTTATACGGGGGGGGGGTGGGATCTTTGTCCTTTGTATGTGGGGAGCTACGAACCCGGCGGCGCGCACCTGGTGGTGAGCGTTAGGTGAGTGTTTTGCGTGAGTGAGTGAGTGAGTGTGTGAGTGGCTGGGTGGGTGTGCTCGCTAAACAGTACTTGCCCCAACAGTCCATTCAGGTTATACGGGGGGGGTGGGATCTTTGTTGGCTATCACTGGTGACAAGGGGGAGCCCATAGGGGTACCCTCATTCTGTTGTAGAAGGTGCCATTCCAGGTGAAATAAGTGTTGGTGAGGCAATGCCTAACTAGCGCGGGCACATCCGAATTCAATCCATGTTGGACCAAGTCCTTAATTATTGTTAGGGTGTCAGGCACTGGGACTTTGGTAAACAGAGATACTACATCAAAACTGATGAGGATATCATCAGGAGATAGTACCATGTCCTTGACCATAGAGATTAATTGGGTTGAGTTGAGTACTTTTTCTGTCGGGAGCTACGAACCCGGCGGGCCGAGTTCGACTCCCGCTCACGGCAATTATCTGAACCATTCCTGGTCCTCCCCTAGGTCGACTCGGCCTCAAATGAGTAGCTGGCGCGGTGTGTAAACATCGCCACGAGGGAGACAAAGGCGGTCGGGCATGGTGGTGCTGGCCACCCACCCCCTCGTGTGCCGTGCCGGCCTTCGTAGGTGTCCACTCGCTAACAGCACTTGCCCCAACAGTCTGTAAAGGCTACCTGGGGGAGACCACCTCCACAATTCGAATCGAACATCTCGCGTTGAGATTATTTGGCCGCTGTAAGTTCCCACGTGATGAGCCACTTCGTTGAGCTGTGATTTGTGGCCTGGTCGCTCCTGACAAAGAAGCGAATCAGCCCGGTGGGCTTTGCCTGGCGAAGTAAGATCGAGTTCGTTTAGTTCGTTTGTGATTTAAAGCTTCTTTCGTGACTGCAGGGATTCATATTCTCGGTTCTTTCGGTAAAGTCACGTAGAAGGGAAATTATAAAATAATAAAAATTTAACATCATAAAATTTCGATTTAAAGCTTTCGTGACTGCAGGGATTCATCTTCTTGGTTCTTTCGGTAAAGTCACGTAGAAGGGAAATAATAAAAGAAATATTTTTAAAAAAATCACGACGTTTGTGTTAGCAGTCGAAACGTCGTGGGAATTTTTTTTTTTTTATATTTGTATTATTTTATTATTTCCCTTCTACGTGACTTTACCAAAAGAACCAAGAATATATATATTCGTTTAGTTCGTTTGTGATTTGCATTCCTCTCCGACACTTTGCACCCCCATTGTGGGTTTTGTATTGTGTTTGTTGTTGTAACTTTCTCACCCTGCGTCTTTCAAAGAGAGCTTTCATCGCTCGTGTGTACGTTCTTACGTTGAACCTCTTCCACATTGGCACGTAACCACGTAACCACGTAACCACGTAACCACGTAACCACGTAACCACGTAACCAACCGCGCTAAACGGAGGTTCTGCTGCGGGAAGCTCAACAAACTATCGGCGACAAACTCGCCGCCATTCCTCCTCCACCGTCAATAAAACGAACGTCCTCATCCTGACGACGCTGCCGTTCGCAGGGACCACCACCTGCAGTTCCGCGTTGGTTCCCCTCCTCCGCCGCGCCTGGCGCACACTCTCTGCTTCCTGCGCGAAGTCTTCCAGCGGAGCCACGACGCCTCCTGCAACGCTGCCGACGTCCCCTCACTCCTCCCGTCGGCTCTGCGAGTCCTCGCTCACGTCCAAGACCCCGCCGGTGCATGCCAGGATAGGGCCCCCGAGATCCGCCGCTGATCCGCCCACCCCGCCCGTGTCCGTGTCTCGGCCGTGTGTCTCTCTGTGCCGCGTGCCTCTGGTCACCCATCTCGGTATTTGTGAGATGAGTGTCGGTTGAGGTTGTCTTTGTCTCTCTGCGCGTCTCATTCTCGTGTTGTTCAGGTCCCTCTGTCCGTACCGCGTCTGCGTGCGTGTCTGTGTATCGCTGTTTCATCCACGTGTCTCTGTTGTCCACGTCTCCGTCTCACCTGTGTCTGTCTGCCTATCTGTCGCTCTGTCTGTCAGTCTGCGTGTCCGTTGTCGGTGTGTCTTTTCTACGTCTCTATCTCATCGCTGTGTATGTGTGTCCCTCTGTGTCTCTCTCTCTCTCTGGTGTGTCTCAGTGCGGTCCCTGGCGTCCGAGCTGCTCTCTGCGATGATGGAGACGGTCCAGTCCCACCCAGACACCGTCCCAGTCTCATCCCTCCTCCCTCCGCTCAGGTACCAGCCCCCCGCCCTCACAGACACACACCAGAGGTCGCAAACGGGTTTTGATTCAATACCCCCCGTACCCGTACCCGGCCGCACCAGGGTCGCAAACGGGTAGCCGTACCCGGCCGTACCCGTACCCTACCCGTACCCGGCCGGGTATCGGGTACCTGATTGCGACCTCTGGGATGAAGCCATGTTGCAGGCGGTGGTGGGTTGATTCTAGGAACTTGAATTGTGAGAAGAGACAAGATGTTTGGAAATGAGTGACAAATAGTTACTCACCAGTGACTCACGGCCTACCCATACCCGTACCCGGCCGCACCAGGGTCGCAAACGGCTACCCGTACCCGGCCGGGTACGGGTAGCCGGGTATCGGGTAGGGTACGGGTATCGGGTACGCGGTTGCGACCTCTGACACACACACACACACACGCACGGACCTAAATCATCATCAGAATCTTTATTCATTGTGGAGGAATCCGACGAGCTTCGAAGCGCGTTTTCACAGATGTCCAAGTGACAGCAGCGACAAGTATGCGCTCACTAACTCCGCTCTGCTGACGGGCAGGAGAAGGTTCGGTGCCACACCATCCCATCGGTGTGCTCACTCTCCTGCCGTGCCTGTGCAGAAGCCAGCAAGCCGGTATCAAGGGTGAGAGGGGCATGGAGTCGTGTGAATGTCCGTGAGCACAAGGCAGATCTGAAACAAGGCAGGGCCAATTCTTCTGCCGTTGCCGATCATTGTTTTAACGCTGTGGGCTCACGCGAAATTTATTTTTTTCCAAGACGGAGGTACTCTGCAAGCCTACCAGCTACCTTCAGAGATTTGCTCATGAAGCCATCCAGATATATAAACACAGACACAGCTTCAACTGAGAGGATGGGTATCAACTGAGCAATCATTGGAAGGACGTTATTAACCGGGTAGAGTCTTAACTGACTGTGATGTTTCCATCCAACCTGCCTATATCAGCTGTTATTTCGACTCTCGGTGTCTCGCTCTCTCTCTCTCTGTGCCTGTCTCTTAGATCTCTCATGCTCGCATGTGTTTTGAATTGGACTGTCATACTCACATGCCCTTCGGATTACACGCTCTCCTCATATCTTACAGTTACATGCTAATCTCTCACGTTAACATCATGCTAATCTCTCACATTAACATCATGCTAATCTCTCACATTAACATCATGCTAATCCCTCACATTTACATAGCCTCTGCCGTGCCCTCTGATTTCTCACATTAACATCATGCTAATCCCTCACATTTACATAGCCACTTCCGTGCCCTCTAATCTCTCACATTAACATCATACTAATCTCTCACATTAACATCATACTAATCTCTCACATTAACATCATGCTAATCTCTCACATTAACATCATACTAATCTCTCACATTAACATCATACTAATCTCTCACATTAACATCATACTAATCTCTCACATTAACATCATACTAATCTCTCACATTAACATCATACTAATCTCTCACATTAACATCATACTAATCTCTCACATTAACATCATGCTAATCTCCACATTAATATCATGCTAATCCCTCACATTAACATGATGCTAATCTCTCACTTTAACATCATGCTAATCTCTCACATTAACATCATGCTAATCTCTCACATTAACATCATGCTAATCTCTCACATTAACATCATGCTAATCTCTCACTTTAACATCATGCTAATCTCTCACATTAACATCATGCTAATCTCTCACATTAACATCATGCTAATCCCTCACATTAACATAGCCACTTCCGTGCCCTCTAATTCCTCACATTAACATCATGCTAATCTCTCACATTAACATAGCCACTTCCATGCCTTCTAATTCTTCACATTAACATCATGCTAATTTTTCACATTAAAAGAGCCACTTCCATGCCCTCTAATTCCTCACATTAACATCATGCTAATTTTTCACATTAACATAGCCACTTCCGTGCCCTCTAATTCTTCACATTAACATCATGCTAATTTTTCACATTAACATAGCCACTTCCATGCCTTCTAATTCTTCACATTAACATCATGCTAATTTTTCACATTAACATAGCCACTTCCATGCCCTCTAATTCCTCACATTAACATCATGCTAATTTTTCACATTAACATAGCCACTTCCGTGCCCTCTAATTCCTCACATTAACATCATGCTAATTTTTCACATTAACATAGCCACTTCTGTGCCCTCTATTTCTTCACATTAACATCATGCTAATTTTTCACATTAACATAGCCACTTCCATGCCTTCTAATTCTTCACATTAACATCATGCTAATTTTTCACATTAACATAGCCACTTCCATGCCCTCTAATTCCTCACATTAACATCATGCTAATTTTTCACATTAACATAGCCACTTCCATGCCCTCTAATTCCTCACATTAACATCATGCAAATTTTTCACATTAAAAGAGCCACTTCTGTGCCCTCTAATTCCTCACATTAACATCATGCTAATTTTTCACATTAACATAGCCACTTCTGTGCCCTCTAATTCTTCACATTAACATCATGCTAATTTTTCACATTAACATAGCCACTTCCGTGCCCTCTAATTCCTCACATTAACATCATGCTAATTTTTCACATTAACATAGCCACTTCTGTGCCCTCTAATTCCTCACATTAACATCATGCTAATTTTTCACATTAAAAGAGCCACTTCTGTACCCTCTAATTCCTCACATTAACATCATGCTAATTTTTCACATTAACATAGCCACTTCTGTGCCCTCTAATTCTTAACATTAACATCATGCTAATTTTTCACATTAACACAGCCACTTCCGTGCCCTCTAATTCCTCACATTAACATCATGCTAATTTTTCACATTAAAAGAGCCACTTCTGTGCCCTCTAATTCTTCACATTAACATCATGCTAATTTTTCACATTAACACAGCCACTTCCGTGCCCTCTAATTCCTCACATTAACATCATGCTAATTTTTCACATTAAAAGAGCCACTTCTGTGCCCTCTAATTCTTCACATTAACATCATGCTAATTTTTCACATTAACACAGCCACTTCCGTGCCCTCTGATTCCTCACATTAACATCATGCTAATCCCTCACATTAACATAGCCACTTCCGTGCCCTCTAATTTCTCACATTAACATCGTGCTAATCTCTCACATTAACATCATGCTAATCCCTCACATTAACATAGCCACTTGCGTGCCCTCTGATTTCTCACATTAACATCATACTAATCCCCCACATTAACATGCCAACTTCTCACATTAACATCATGCTAATCTCTCACATAAACATACCAACTTCTCACATTAACATCATGCTAATTTCTCACATTAACATCATGCTAACTTCTCACATTAACATCATGCTAATCCCTCACATTAACATAGCCACTTCCATGCCCTTTAATCTCTCACATTAACATCATGCTAATCTCTCACATTAACATGCCAACTTCTCACATTAACATCATGCTGATTTCTCACATTAACATCACCAGACTCAGCCATGACCCTTGGGCTACACCCATTTCAAAGCTTTTTAAAATTGTCCCCAAATTTCGTGATTTATTTTATACCCACGTGACTTTACCGAAAGAACCAAAGAGTAATCATCTTATGTGCAGTGTCTTTTCAAGTTTAAAGACCACTGAAATGTATCAAGGTGAGAGGTATACATTTGCGTGGAAATGTATCAACTCGTGTTCTCTCAACCACATTGTACCTGTTTCTGCCTCTCTGTGTAGTTTTCTCCATCGCTTCCTTATTGATAACAATAATTACGAACAGTTATTCATTTTCAATAATTCATACTCCTTGGTTCTTTCGGTAAAGTCACGTAGGTGAAAAAAAGATAGGAATACAAATAAAGTAATACAAATAAAACGTAATAAAATACAATTCTCACGACGTTTCGGCCACAACGCAAGCAGCCGTCCTCAGGTGAAGAACAGGTCTGTCGGAAAGACAGCGTCCCAATGAGCACCGCCAAGCTTGGCAGTGTATATTTAACCTTAGAGTCGCGGTATTTTATTATGTTTTATTTTTATTATTCTATCATTTCCCTTCTACCTGACTTTAGCGAAAGAACCAAGAAGATGAATCCCTGCAGTCACGAAAGCTTTAAATCGAAATTTTATTATGTTTTATTTTTATTATTTTATTATTTCCCTTCTACGTGACTTTACCGAAAGAATCAAGAAGATGAATCCCTGCAGTCACGAAAGCTTTAAATCGAAAAATGAAAATAGAAACAACTAAATTAAATCACGACGTTTCGCGCACAACACACAAGCGTCCTTCTTCAGCGAAAACATTTGCACCTGATGACGGATGCTTGTGTTGCGCCCGAAACGTCGTTATTTAATTGAGTTATTTCTATTTTTATTCTTTATTTTATATTTTTTATTTTCACCTACGTGACTTTACCGAAAGAACCAAAACGTATGGAATCCATGCAGTCACGAAAACTTAAAATCTAGTATCAATAATTCATCATTATTAATAATCAATTACTATTAATCATGATGTATTATTGTTATTGATGCGTCGTCCCTCGCAGTTGTGACCCAGCCCAGAACCGCTTATTTGCCGGGCTGAATGTACTGCCCGGCTAAAACATCTAATGAATATTAAACGCTCCAACTTTATTCCGAGATTTTTAAATAATGGGGAGGGTGTGGGGTGGGGTGGATGGGGGAGCAAAAAAAAAGAGATAAAGTTGCCGCCTGAATATTCAACGGCAGTATTTTTCATTTTTTCGGCTGTTGTTGTTGCTGCAAGAACGCCACAAACAAAAATAAATCTCGTTAGTTTTAATGGAAATTAAAAGCACTGCTGCCCCTGGGCTACCGTAGCGTTCGGATTTAACATAATCTATGAAATTGCTTAGCGAGTTTTATTTTATTTATAATTTTTCCGCCGCACGCAAAAGTTGCGGGAGCGTCGCTTCGGGGCGATTGGATGCTCTTGCTCAGGAGTTGAGTCGCTGCTCTAAATGAGCATAGCG